TTTCAAAGCCTCTTCCATTCGATACCTAACATCACCTGGAACTTTCTAACATGGCCCAACCTCACCAAACTTTCCTGCAAGATGTTGCTTCATTCTATTAATCCCTCCACCTTTGATAGTCTTCCCACAATACAAACATGTTAAAGTTTTCTTCCCATCGGGAGCTCGCCCCTCAGTTACATGGTCCCATGCTGGATCAGATTTACCTCTTGTTGATGATGGGGTATTAGAGTGTGCAGTTGAATTATGGCCAGATGAATCCATTTCACCTAAAACAACCCTATATAATACATTTAGTAATATTTGAAATCATAAATTTATTATAAAAAAATAGCATGAAATTAGAATTTTATTATCATGTATCTAACAGCTATGAAAACAAAAAACAAAAACTTGGAATTGTATAATTAGATGAAAGATTATATATATATATATATATATATATATATATATATATATATATATATTATTCTTTCTCTGAAACCCTACTTCAATTTTGTGAACTCACAAAACTACAAAAAGAAGAAGAAGAAGAAGAAGAAGAAGAAGAAGAAATAAACAAATAAAAATATAGGAAGAAAAAAAAAAGAACATAAAAATTCTGCAACAATATCAAACTTGATGCATTTCTAAATATATAATGAAGTCTCTCTCATGGACAGATCAGAATGTGTATGTTTAAATGAAGACCAGATTCAGAAGGGGGGGAAATGGGCACTGTTCTTCATCATAAAGAAGTTTGTGTATGTGTTGTGTGTTTGTGTGTGGTTGGAGATGAGATGACTAACCAGTGACTAATGCAGTGAGTTGAGCTTGAGAAGAAGGGAGTAAGAAAGAACAATCTTGTTGAGTAACTTGCTCAGCTGTTGAGTTTGATCCATATCCACTTGGGCCTGCAACACCTGCCAAGTACCTCAGTGTTTTCTTCATCAGGACACAAAACTTGCAATCTCTCTCACCCGACAAACAACAACTGCAACTATAGTAGGAAAGAGCACTCTCTACATAGATACACAAGATATATATATATATATATATATAAGGAACATTGAACTTTCTAGCAGTCCATGCACCACCTAAATAATAGATGGTATGACCAATCAGATCCCTGATTGATGCCAGAGTGTCAGGCTTTTTTGGTTTCGGGTTTGGATCATCTGTTTCCAAAATAGTTTTTTTATTTTATTAATTACATTTAGGTTTTTTCTTTTTCTTTTTCTTAAAAAAAAATTAAAATCAATTAATAACCACAACTCATAAAAAGAGAAACACCAACTATACCTGAGTAATGGTCACTTGATCCCTTAAGAATTGTAGATCTGTAACAAGAACTTCTAAACTAGCTCTAGCATTTTCCAAATTCTTTTGTAGAAGATCAGTGGCCTGCATTTTGAAGTTTGAAGCACTTAAAATCTCGTGTCCGTGTGTAAATGCTAACATCTTAAGATTACAAGTGGGGTACCTCTTCACATGAGTACTCCAGCATGACATTTGCTCCCAGCCATAAACATACTGAATCAGTATAGAGTTAAAGTGTCCCAAAATGGTTGCTCTCTCTCATATGTGGTGAAAATATAAAAGTGAAGTGTCTGTGTATAAAGTATAGAGTTGTCGCTTGATTTCTACTATGTAGAAGGATGGTTGTGTGTCAAATTTCTTTAGGATACTAATTGCTTTGAGCTAGTCAATCAATTACTGGGTCATGGATGAAATCTGTCATAAAATAACTGAATTGAGTCAAATTTAAAGGTGGGATGTATGGTACACTTTTTACTATCTATGAATTTGATTTGATTTAAGTTAATGTGTTTCTTTGTTGAAAATTTGATTTTTTAATTTAATTATTTATTAGATGAGGTTGAGAATATAAACAAGATAACATCTCCCATGCAGATTTATGCAGTATCTGGTTAATTTAACATGCAGAAGGTAAGTAGCACAAATCCATAAATATATCTGTGATGGCTAAAGAGCGATAGAAATCAGATCATGTTTTTGGAATCTCAAAGGAGTCCTAAAGATTAACAAGAAGAGGGAAAGAAAAAAAAAACAGAAAAGAGAAGAAAACCAAATTCATATATCAAGAACAAAAAGGACTCTTCCAGGGCCCAGTGGGAAACACAATGGACTCATTCAATTTCCTCAGAATGTTTTAAAAATCTCTTATGCATATACATAATGGAATACATTAGTAATATTAAACCAATGCATATCCAAACTAACCCACTTCAAACGTCTAATAGAGGAAAAGACAATGCAATGAAATGAAACAAAAGACAATTTACAGACACTAGTATACACTACCCCCTAAGCAAAGACAATAAGAGGTAACGAACATATAATCATACCGCTTTTCCATGCTCATATGCACGATCCAACAGATACGAATACTCCAAATCCTCAAAACACTTTTGTAAAGATGATATTGGCTCATTGAAGTACACAGGGAGACAAACTCGCGTTAGATCTTTTCCTACATTGTCTTTGATCATGGACCAAAGACTGACCCCTTTCTCCTTTTCAACCGGATCTGGAAGCTTCTTTCGCCTTTCAATTTGTGGATATGTGGAGCTAATAGCTTCCTTCTGAGCATTCAAATTTTTCCTATCATCAAATTGCTTTTCAGGTCCCATACACTTACTGATGTTATCTGTAACTCCAGCAACAGACCCACAACTAAGAGTTGTTTCAGAAAAATTCTCTATTGTGTCAAAATAGGAGGTATCATCTTCATCTGAGACGTCTTCAAGCTCTTGTTTCTCAATATCATCAGATGATTCAGTGGTGCTGCATTCTGAACCACAAAAAACAAGATGTTAAGAAAATTAGAACAAATGCTAGAAGAAATGAAACTAGACGCATTATATGGTTGTTTACAGATAAGAAAATGGACATGAACAACTTTGTAGGTAATTCATGACAATGGCCAAAAAATATACATGTTTCATGTATATTTCTAAATTTCTTCAGTATATATTTTAGAATATACTTGTATTTATACACATACACACATACACTGCACATATACTCTATGCCATTGCTATGACAACTTTGTTCATGTTCCTCTGAACTAAAGTACGTCTAGCTTATTGTGGTTTTCCATGTCTTCAACTTATGCAAATGACTAAGAATGGCACAATTTTATACCTTTGAATCTTCTCTAAAATATTTAAACCGGCTTATTTCTCTCCAAGGGCACTTCACATGGACCAAAAGTTGGCACAAAAGATTGATGTTGGCCTTGAATGTAGTGCACGAGAAATAAGGGGAAGGAGAGGCAGGGAGGTAGAAGTTCACAAATGATGAAGATGAAAGACCAAAGAGAATACAGAAAACCAGCTGCAAGATACCTAGTTTAACCAAAATAATTATTATGTTACACCCCAATGAGATGGACAGGCTCAACCCACAAAATCTAAACTGGTAGCAAATCTAGAAGGACAATTGAATCCTTATTTAGAAATAAAGTTTAACTAGATAAAAGAAATTGTATTGCCTCAAGGCATAAGCAAGTGATAATATATCATGCGTACCACTATATTTTCCATGCCCTAGACAGGAAACTTCATGCTTTGTCAATTGGTATTCACAATCAGGAATTCCAGAGCCTTCAGCTTCTATATTAGCAGCCTGCATAAACAAAGGAAATATGACTACACTAACATTACAAATACCAAACAAATCACGCATTAGCATACCATTTGAATATTTTGTTAGACAGAAAGCACAGAGAAAAACAAGCAAACATAAAAATTGAAAAAAAAAACAATAAAAAAAAAAACAACGTAAGCAAAAAACTATTGAGGAGAAATTCCCTGGGTTCCAAATGGTTTTACTCTTCCTTTCTTTCAAAGTTGATGGAGTTCTAGTCACTGTTTCCAACGATCCACATCCAATGCCAATTGCTTTTCCTGTACATGATCAAAGACACTAACACCGCACTCGAAACCCTAGATAAATTGATTCGCCATTGCTGCTGCTGCTCAATCTGATGAAAGAGAAGAGTTTTCCATACAAGGACTAGAAAGAGTAAAGGAACAAAAACGAATCTCTAATTTTGTATAGAAGTGTGCTTTTTCAAATTTTGAGAAGCCAAGAACAAAATCTCTAATTCTTCTATCAATAGATAATTTCAAAGATACAAATGTAGCGCACCATGGTAGTAAAATTAACAATAACAACAATAATAATAGTAATAAAAATAATGAGGATCAACAGAAAAAGATTTATTTAAATACTTGACACAGTTTAGCATAATGCTTTTATATATCTCACTGTTCTCATCTTGATGACCAAGCTACAAACCAACCAATCCATCGACAATGACATATGCATAAAAAAAACAAACTAAAGTGAACACGTGGTCTTCGCTATCCATCAAGAAAAATCATAACCTTCTATCCAATGCAAAGAGAAAAGCCTATTGAAGTGTTAATCTACAATTGAAGCCTAATAAACATATAAATTATAATGTTTGAGACTTACTGATCATTGGGAACTTTAATCAAACAGAAACAGATAAAACAAATATGACCAACACCATAAACCACATATCCATATGGAGAGTCAGATTCAGTGTGGAGAAACAAATCTACCTGTTCAAGATCAATCCTAGACTCAATCTCAGACATTTGCCTTGAGCCAACGCCTCTAATCCTCCCAAAGATCAGTCTGGAGCAGACAAACACAATGAAAGTGGCAATCATTCCAAACCCAATAATTGTAGTTATCAAGTTCATGCCTGGACTAGACATAAAAAATGAAGGAAAAAAAAAACATATATAAATATGTATATATAGCATATATAAATATGTGATGTTCTTGTATTGCATTGTTATGCAGGGATCTATCAAACAACCGTCTCGCAGGAACAGTTCCAGATAATGGTTCCTTTTCACTATTTTCACCATGCACATAGATACAGAGGCACATATACAGCAGAACAGAGCAGCACACAGAAACAGAGGCATAAATTATAACTCTAAATTTTCCATCATGTTTATATTAGCTTCATGTAGATGATTTCTATGAAATCTTGAAAATGAAACTTTCTATTTATGTAGCTTCATGTAGAGAGAGAGAGAGAGATGGAAATCACTGAATCTTCGACGGAGCTTCGAAATCGGTTCGATCTGGAGCTTCGAAATTCTGAATCTTCGATGGAAATCACTGAATCTTCGACGGAGCTTCGAAATCGGTTCGATCTGGAGCTTCGAAATTCTGAATCTTCGATGGAAATCACTGAATCTTCGACGGAGCTTCGAAATCGGTTCGATCTGGAGCTTCGAAATTCTGAATCTTCGATGGAAATCACTGAATCTTCGACGGAGCTTCGAAATCGGTTCGATCTGGAGCTTCGAAATTCTGAATCTTCGATGGAAATCACTGAATCTTCGACGGAGCTTCGAAATCGGTTCGATCTGGAGCTTCGATGGAGCTTCGAAATTGCTTCGAATATCTGAATCGATGGAGCTTAGAGAGGGTTGAGAGAGAGAGAGAGAGAGAGAGAGAGAGAGAGAGGGCTCAGATTACTCGTATGGGTTGAGAGAGGGCCAGATACAAAATAAGGAAGGCGCGTGAGGTACACCACATTCGGAGGCGTTTTTCAACGCCTCCTATCATAAAACGGTGCCGTTTTGCTTAAAAGAATATGTGGCGTTTATAAAACGCCGCTAAATGCTAATAACAGTGACGTTTAAAAAAATGTCGTTAAAAAAACGCCACCGTAACCCTTTTTCCCTGTAGTGGCAGTGAGGAGAAATAAAAATGATTAGGCTTTTGTTTTGGTGGCTCTTTTAGTTCTCTAAATATTTTATTGACCTTCAAAATAATATTGTGAGTACAAAGCTCATTTTTCTTTGTTTATATTTGATTCGTTATATTTATTTATTTGTATTTATTTAATATTGATTTGATTTTTGTATTGATATGAAGATGACAGATTGATTTTAATTGTTTTGATTAATTGGGTATGTAAGGTTTATGATTTTTTTTTTTAGATAATTGATTAATTTTAATTATGTTGATTAGATGTATATGTAAGGTTTAAGGTTTTTAGATGATTAATTGATTATAATAATTTTAATTAGTTGAGTATATAAGGTTTAGGATTTTTTAGATGATTGATTAATTTTAATTATGTTGATTAGACGTATACGGAAGGTTTAGAATTTTTAGATGATTAATTCATTGTAATAATTTTAATTGGTTGGGTATGTAAGGTTTGGTATTTTTTAGATGATTGATTAAGTTTAATTATGTTGATTAGACGTATATGTAAGGTTTAAGGTTTTTAGATGATTAATTGATTGTAATAATTTTAATTAGTTGAGTATGTAAGGTTTAGGATTTTTTAGATGGTTGATTAATTTTAATTATGTTGATTAGTATACGGAAGGTTTAGAATTTTTAGATGATTAATTCATTGTAATAATTTTAATTAGTTGAGTATATAAGGTTTAGGATTTTTGAGATAATTGATTAATTTTAATTATGTTGATTAGACGTATACGGAAGGTTTAGAATTTTTAGATGATTAATTCATTGTAATAATTTTAATTGGTTGGGTATGTAAGGTTTGGGATTTTTTAGATGATTGATTAAGTTTAATTATGTTGATTAGACATATATGTAAGGTTTAGGATTTTTAGATGATTAATTGATTGTAATAATTTTAATTAGTTGAGTATGTAAGGTTAGGATTTTTAGATGATTGATTAATTTTAATTATGTTGATTAGATGTATATGTAAGTTTAAGATTTTTAGATGATTGATTAATTTTAATTATGTTGATTAGATGTATATGTAAGGTTTAAGATTTTTAGATAATTAATTGATTGTAATTATTTTAATTAGTTGGGTATGTAAGGTTTAGAATTTTTAGATGATTGACTAATTTTTTATTTATTTTGATTCGACGTGTATGTAAGGCTTAGAGTTTTTTTATAATTGATTGATTTTAATTATTTGCATTAGTTTGGTATGCAAGGTTTAGGGTTTTATTTTGGGTGACTTTATTAATTCTTTGAGTGATTGTTTGATCTTCAAAAATAATTGTGAGTACAAAACTCACTTTCCTTGATTTATATTTAATTCTTGTTTTTATCTATTTGTTTGATATTAGTTTAATTTTGTGTTTACATAAAGATGATAGATTAATTTTAATTATTTTGACCAGTGGTGTATGTAAAGTTTAGGGTTCTTGGATAATTGATTGATTTTAATTACTTTGATTAGTTGTGTAGGTAAAGTTTAGGGTTTTTCGATGATTGATTAATTTTAATTATTTTGTTTAGTTGTGTAAGTAAGGTTTAGGGTTTATAGATGATTGATTGATTTTAATTATTTTGATTAGTTGTTTATGTAAGGTTTAGGGTTTTTAGATGACTAATTGATTTTAATTATTTTGATTAGTTGCATGCAAGGTTAGGGTTTTTATATGGAGTGAATTTATGATTGTAATCACACTCATGATTATATAAAATTAAAATAAACTTAGAATCCATAGATATTGGTTAGAGGATGGATTGATTCGTTGTTTTTATTTATTTATTTTTATTTGATGTTGGATTGATTTTGTATTTGCATGTAAATGAAGGATTGATTTTACTTATTTGGATTAGTTGTGTATGCCATGTTTATGATTTTTATATGGATTTATTTTATAGTTGTAATTACACTCATGGTCTTATGAAATTAAAATTAATTACGAACCTATAGATAAATTCCTTATACTCCACCATGACTCCATGAATTGTTATTTTATTTGAGTGATGGGGAGAAAGAGTGCATAAAAAAGTGAGGATTATGAGAGTTGTTTAATGCCTTATGCCCGGCATTGTTATATTTGTCTCATGATGTTGATGAGATGTTATTTATATTGTTGCCTCGTTCTCATGAGTAGACGAATAAAGATAACAACTTTTCTTGCGATGTCCCCGTGCAAGTTTGGCTTCGGAGTGGTGTTAGGTATACGGGAGGCACATGGGATATATGTGTAGGCCGGAAGGGCAGGGCCGAAGTGGTGGAGTTAAGGAACAAAGAATTTAATTATGAATTTATTAGTATAGTGTGTATGGTATTGTTATGTACATGATAAAAAAATAGTAAACGATCTTGATAAATTATGAAATTTGAGCAAAAGCATGTATTCGTGATTTTGGACAACTTTTGTGTTATAGCTTTTTATTAAAAAGATCGATTAGAACTTATGATTGGACGACCTGGGCTATTGTTGGTTTGATTCACTCTGGTAATGCAGATTTTTATAGGCTGTTTTAACCACAAAACGAGTTCATTTTTATTGGTTTCGCGTAAACTGAAGTAAAACATTATTCTTCACACTTTTCATGTTTTGAACTTTTTCGGAAAAAAATCATCTTATGACAGTTTTTGTTCGTTTTCAGCTTCATATTTTTCGATCGAATTCCGTCTAGATTTTTAGATTAAGTTTTTCTCTTAACCTGTTCAGTTTCTGTTAAATTCGTTCACGTTGTCTTTTAGGAAATTTGATTCTGTACAACTTTCGTTCTTTGAGTTTTGATCAATTCGAATTATTTAAGTATGAAACGGTGTAATTTTATATTTGTTTCAACAAGTTACTTATGATTAAATTATAATAACTTTATTTGTTTTGCAGGATGGTGGGTCTTACTAACTTTTTATGCAGGGCTGACCCACCATATTTCTATTTCTATTTTGTTTATTTTATAATAAATTTATATTTCGTTGTGTACGGACAAGAAACTAAATGCCACCGTGTCTCGAGAAACTACCCATTCATCTCGGTACGGTTGGAACTACTTGTCTTGTCCTGTAATAAGAATTTAACGTATTTTTGTTTGTGTCTGGTGGACACGTGAGTGTTGAATCTTGTACTCATACCAATATACCTGTATACTGACCCATTTTGTCTCTTGGCAACTCGGGTGCGTTCTGTTTGAGCGCAGTCGAGCTTCATTTGCAGGATTAGTTGAGGTTATGGTGGTGACCAGAAATAATTGTGATCATAGGACATGTCGTTTGGACTTTTTTTATTTTCTTGAGCTTAGAGTTGATACTAATTTATGTATTTTTTTTTTTATGGCTTTAGTATTGAAATAATTTGGCATGATTTGTAACCATACTCCCTTATCAACGTTGTTCCCGTGAAATACATACTCATTAGTTATATTATTTTGGGGTACTTACGTGTAGGTCCTAATAAGTGAACTTATTGTCTAATAGATCTTATGGGGAAAAAAATCATAAAAAAAGGTCACTAATTGTAAGTTTTGGCGACAATTTATAAAAATCATGGCAAAAAAAAGTCACTAATTGTTAATTTTTAGCGACATATATAAAAAATTGTCACAAAAAATTTATTTTTAGTGACAATTTTACCAAGACTTATTTTCAATAGGGCTTGATGGGAATTAAATCCAACTATTGTGACCTACTGGTAGTTTACCCTAATATTTTTTCCTTTAATTATGATTAATTTTCTTCTTTAATTATGACTCATGAATTATTTAATTATATCTTATTATGATATTTTTTTTAATTATAACTCAAAAAATTAAAATTATATTATTTTTTAAAAATAAATTTCATAAATCATAACTCAAATAAAGGTTATAATAAAAATAAAAAAACATAACTACGGTTCATATTGCACACGCCTTTGTTTATTAGAATGTTCCAAATATATATGCAGTTGAAATCCACTAGTGGATACGTCTTTACCCTGGGAGGTGTTGCAGTTCCAAACAGACATGCATAACAAGGTCGACAATGGAATCTGAGTTTATCGCATTAGATAAAATAGGAGAAGAAGCAGAATGGCTTCATAATTTCTTATAAGACATTCTAGTGTAGCCTAAACCTGTGCCAACTATGTGCATTCACTGTGATAGTGAAGCAACAATAGGACGGGCACAGAATCATATGTAACGGTAAGTCTTGACACATTCGTCGAAGACATAATACCGTTAGACATTTTTTCTCACATGGAATAATTTCCATAGAGTATGTAAAGTCAAGAGAGAATATTGTGGATCCATTGACTAAAGGGTTGGCCAGAGAGCAAGTGTACCATTTATTGAGGAGAATAAGATCAAAGCCTATTACTTAAAAAGTCGCCATAATGGTAACCCAACTTAGTTGACTGGAGATCCTAAGATTTAGGTTCAAAAGGACAACCGAATTATGGATGACTTCACGTGTCGCTAAGGAGGTTTACTCCTATCCATTTCTATGATAAGAAAAGTAATACCTGCAGCGTTAGTAGGATAAACTTTGCTTTTAATGATTCTTATAGCTTGGACATCCAAGTGGGGTATAGTAGGATACTCTTAATAAGAATTCACCTATATGAGTGTAAACTGGGCCGATTCTGTGAGAATTGATAAGGCTAAATTCTCTAGAGCACTCATGAATTACTAGGTGTTGTTCAAGGCCAAAATGAACACAACCATAAGAACCAAACTATGTCTGTAGATACACTATGTGTAGTCTATTGTCTTAACTTACATAAACAGCTGAACAGTTCAAGGTATCACGTCCACTGGTTAGCCAGTAAGTCCGATAGGCTTTTACTAGAGAAGATTCAAAGCCAAAAGTTACCTATCTTGATGTGGTGTATCTGCTTAATGTACTATTTCTTTGTCTGTATTTTGTGGGATGTCCGTTGTCGTGAATTTCATTCATGTGGGGGATTGTTGGAGAATGGCTTTGAAAAACCTTATCTTTTGCTAACTTTGAGCATTAATTAAGGTGGGACCCAAGTGTTATTTTTAACGTTTCTCATTAGGTTCATGCTTAATGCCTCATAGTATATATCATCATGTATTTGGTTACTCAAAACCATTTCCGAATAAATGAGAATTCAACGCGTATTTTAGGGTTCACGGATATGGCTTTAGGTGAGTTTCTTAAACATTTGTGAAATGTGCTTGTCCCGCATTAGAAAAGCTTAAGGAGTTATATGGGTATATATATTCTAACTTTGGATACTTGGGATGGGCCTCAAAGGATACCCAAGTTTGTAGAAGGGTGAGGTTATGGGTAAAGTGGGCTAGACCCATTGGACCCAAAATAAAAACCACACACGCGCATCACCGTTGTCCGTCCGTCCGGTCGGTCGGGCTGGGCTGGGCTTGAGCGCGGGTGCGTGGTGCGAAGTGTGAGGTTGGGTTGGGCTTGTCCAGCCCAATACTTATCTTTTTGGACTAAAAATATTTGTATTTTATTTATTTATTTTTTAATTTTGGTTCCAAAATTCAAAATAAATTGGTCCAGATTTTTCCTTCACCCAAACAGATCCCGAGTAGGTTTTCTACTTGTTGAATTCCACCCGAATATGTTCATACCTATTGAAATTCAAACCGAACAGGTTTTTTACATGTTGATTCCACCTAAACGGATTCAAATCTGTCCAAACAGGTTTCTACCTGTTCTGAAAAGGCACTTCTTCTATATATAGCCTACCTTTCCAACATTTCGTGGGTGTTTGGGAAGTGAGTTTTTATGTGGGTTTTTTTAATTGTAAGATATTATTGGAGAAAAAAATTTATGTGTTTGGGAAAATAGTTGGGTTTTTTATGGTTGGATGTGATGTTTGTAAGAGAAAAAGTGAAATGATTATGGGGTTGGATGTGATATTTTGTTTGGATCTGTTTTTTTTGGTTTTACAAAAAGTTTGTCTTTTTGTGAAAAAAAAAAAAAAAAAAAACCCAAGTTCAAGACTTCCCAAACACTACCCATCTTTCGAAATTTTCCAAAAACTCTTCATTTTCTTCTTCTGTTCGTCCTCATGCGCTCCTGCATTTGTTTCCCATTTAGTTTCTAAAAAATGAAAGAGAAAGAGTTATAGCATTGCTTGGTTCACAAGACTTGATTTTGTAGTGCTGCAAATCAAGTAGTAGTCGTTGTATCTTGGGAAGTAGGCGCCATTAAAACTCGAAGCACCGAGCGAGAGCGAAATCTACTTTAAGGAAATTGTGTTCAACACAAGTCTTGACTTATAATTTCTGTAAGTAAGTAATTTGGAATTTAATTTATTAAATTAATTTCTAAATTATTTTATTTTGTTGTTTATTTTATTTAGACATTTAATTTACACACGCATCCACTGTGGGATTTAACACAACCGAACCCACGATGGTCCACAACTCCTTCACATAATACTCCATCATCGCCCATATGTTGGTTGAACTTGAGTCCGAACGTTCTTTAAAGTTGAGATGATTAATTTAAGAGAAGTCAAATCCTTTTGAAATTACACTGTACTCCCTTATCAACGTTGTTCCCGTGAAATACATACTCCTTAGTTATATTATTTTGGACTACTTACGTGTAGATTCTAATAAGTGGACTTATTGTCTAATAGATCATATGAGGGAAAAAAAATTCTTAAAAAAAGTCACTAATTATAAGTTTTAGCGACAATTTATAAAAATCATGACAAAAAAAAATCACTAATTGTCAATTTTTAGCAACATATATAAAAAATTGTTACAAAAAAATTATTTTTAACGATAATTTTACCAAGACTTATTTTCAATAGGACTTGATGGGAATTATGTCCAACTATCCTATTATTTTTTCCTTTAATTATGATTAATTTTCTTCTTTAATTATGACTCATGAATTATTTAATTATTATATCTTATTATGATATTTTTTTTAATTATAATTCAAAAAATTAAAATTATATTAATTTTTAAAAATAAATTTCATAAATCATAACTCAAATAAAGGTTATAATAAAAATAAAAAACAAAACTACGGTTCATATCGCACACCCCTTTGTTTATCAGAACTTCCCAAATATATATGCAGTTGAAATTGATCCATAGTGAAGTGCGGGTCATATGTAGAGCTTGCTGTTTTGGACTAAAATAGTCATATATAAGACAAAAATAGGATACATCTTTCATTGTAGATAGATTTTTTTTTACAATTGAAGGCAGTAGAGTTTTGAATTCGAGTTCTCTGATTCACAGAGCTTGAAAACTCCGAAAATTGGATACATCATCACAAAATCTCTGACGGTGTGCCAAGTTTTGTGGCTCCAAATTCAAATTTTTGGAGTTGAATTCCACATTTTGCAGTAGCTTGATTCGATCCGTTGCTCGGTTGCAGGTAGTTCTTGAAGCTTCGCAGAATCCGAGAAATTTCGAGTTTTGATAAGGTTTTAACTGAATTGTAATTGAAGATTGCGATCATAGCTTTGCGTTTATTCTTTGATTTTATTCGAACTGTGATGATTAGTTGGGTAATGATTTCAGTTTCCGCTTGAAATTTCAGATTTTGGCTTCAAAGGCTTGCGGAGAAAGCAGAAAACAGAGTTTCTGCGAAGCATTAGGGTTAATTTTCAGGTGAGATTCTAATTGCGAACATATGAACTTCTAATGCTTCGTTTTCTCACAGCGTATGATTTGAATGGAAAACAAAACAATGTAATATAAAAGGATTCAAAATCATCTTCTTCTTCTATTTTTTTATTTTTTAATATTTTTTTTTTCTCTTCCTCAGTTTTCTCAGCAACCAGAGTTTAGTAAGTGTCAAGGTTTATTTATGGTTCAGTATTTTATTGTAAAAGGCTGTTTCAATTTTTGTTGAGGCATTATGATGAAATCCTCTGCTTTAGACCCCCATTCTAAGCAGTTTGCTTTCTCTTCATGTAGAGAACATATATGAGAGAGACTGTCTCCTTTTTTTCTCCTTTTGTGTATAAAAGTGCGATTAATGTTTCTTCTCTCTAACTGTGTTCTTAGGTTATACTAGTTTTGTGGATCTGCATAGTTTTGATCTAGAAACTGGCTTGTGAAAATTGGTTGATTATGAGTCTGACTTTATCTAAATTGTTGAATTCTCAGCTGACATAGGAAATCTTGGAAATTTTCTCTTAAAATTTTGTAGAGAACCTTGCTTAGATGTTTGGTTTGTGGTTCATGGTCTTTCAGGTCCCATCCTATAGCATGAAATTAAAGATAATATCTGAACGCTGAAATGAGATGCAATGCATGCTGGCGAGAATTGGAAGGGCAAGCTATTTCCACCACTTGTGGCCACCTCTTGTGTATCCAGATGCATACAGTAGTTTTAATTTTCTGCAGTTTTGTATGTCTCTTCATTCACTATAGAATTGGTGGAACTGGGGCATCATTATGAGGTTTCCTTAACAGCATTAAAAGGCAATGAAGATGCTAGTAAGATCCTCAGTAATGATGCAGCTTGCCCCATCTGTGATCAAGTGCTGTCCAAAAGGTCAGTGGATTCTGATAGCATGGTTTGGAAATTTTTTTATTGTGTTCTTTTATGCATGAATTCTTAAAGCATCAGATTGCTACAATTGAATGAGATTTGACAGGAAAATATTGATGCATCCTGCCAATTATCTACTAAATGGAATGATAGTATTGGGGGTTCACAGTATATTTCTTTCCCCCTGGCCATAAGTTTGCTGCATGCTTTAATGGGAACATACAAGTCCCTGATCTTAAAACCTTGAGCTTTGGCGCAAGATAGCTTTTGAATCGGAAATTTCTGAACTATTTTATGTTATAATATAATTTTTTGTAACTTGATTGCCTTTTTAACTTAGTATGGCTTTCACTTGGCAGTCTTATGAAACCCGTGGATATCAATCCAAACGATGAATGGATAAATGTAAGCCAGCATTCCTCGATCAGATATCCTGTTACCAAAAGCATTTTTGGTTTTCTGCTATTTCAAACAGAGGTCACCTTAGGATCTGTTATTTTGCCTGACCTTTTACATATTATTTTGCAGATGGCCATGGCTGGGATATCTCCACAGATATGTATCCTTTATTACTTCCAACAAATGTGTATTCATTACATGTGCAATTCCCAAATGGCGTGTACAGTCCTTAGAATGTTATGTAAAATTTTGTTAAAACACACGTTGTGCCATGCATTGTTCCTTGAACATATCCAGTGATGAAGAGCGCATACAGAAGCGTCATGTTCTACATCGGGCAAAAGGAACTGGAAATGCAATTCAAGATGAATAGAATAGTAGCTCAGTGCAAGCAGAAATGCGAGACAATGCAAGATAAGTTCACAGAAAAACTGGAGCAGGTGCATACTGCATACCAGAAAATGGCCAAGAGGTGCCAGATGCTGGAACAAGAGATTGAGAGCTTATCCAAGGACAAGCAGGAGCTCCAAGAAAAATTTTCTGAGAAATCCAGGTAAATCTTAGACGACGTTGTGTCAAATCCTATTCAGACCTGATCTTTTCCTTTGTGAAATTTATAATTTGAGTGTTGACACAAACTATTATTTTCCAATACTAGGCAAAAGCGAAAGCTTGATGAAATGTATGACCAATTGAGAAGTGAGTACGAGTCAATAAAACGATCAGCCATCCAACCTGCAAGCAATTTCTATTCAAGAGCCGAGCCTGATTTGTTCTCAAATCCACCTAACATGATGGATAACAGAGATCCTATCAGAAAAGGTAATCTTGTTCTGTTAATAGTATTTTAAAGTTTTATTTTATCCCTTTGATGTTGTCAAAAGAGTTGTAGTTTGGATAACCAGTGTTTGTTGCATTCTTCCAAGAAATGCTAGTTGACTTATCTATTGCAGATTGGTCGGTTTTCACTCCTGACACTCCAGGGCCTAGAGGGGATATATGGCCATCAGCGAGACAGAACAGCGCTAGCTCTGGCCCGTTTGACATCTCCGGTGGCTCACCTGCAAAACAATCAACAATTCCACTCGATGCTGGTAACAGAAGGGCTGCTGCTCGCCCTGTTTTTGGAGCTGGAGCGAGTAATCCCTCAATGACTTTGAGGAACCTAATTCTCACACCAATAAAACGGCCTCAGCTTTCTCGTAACCACCCTCAGATGTTCACGTAAGTCAATAATTTAATTTTACTGGAAATTGTTAGTCATTTCAAAGTTGTCTAAGAAAATTTTGGGCTTTCCAGGTTGTAGAGAAAGTTTTGAGGCTTACCATTACAAACTAGTCAAAGGAATTCTGTCATGTCCTTGTGCTGGAAGAGAAGGGAAAAACAAAAGAAAGCCATCAATCAATTATCCCAAGGCTTTCCTTCGGTGACTAACAAAGTATATAGTGATTTTTTTTTTCTTCACAAAGGGTCAAGCAGCCACCAGAACACAGAAACTAAAATAGATTGGAGTACTATTTTTGAAGCTGATTTCCCCATTCTGTTGTGTGCTTAAAGAGACAAATAACTATGTCTGAGAGTTCACCTGACTAATGTAAGGCAGTCTTCTTTTTTTTTCTTTTTCTTTCTTTTTCCTTGCTCTTCAAATATTGCAGAATATAAACTCCTTCACTATGTGTTTTCATGGCCTTGATTTTCTTTGCTCACATGTTGAAACTTTATTTTTTTTCTGGAATCATAGTGGTGACGGTGATAGCTGCATCTTTCATATTGAATCAGGGGTATGAAAATGCCAGAATTAATTTTGAATTATCATGTTTCCATGTAGCTTAAATGCCCCATTACAACTGGGACTAAAAAACATATAGAATCTACATGTCTTTCCTTATCCTCCATATTTAACGTTAGTTTGAAAATGACTAATCATGGAATTACCCCTTATCTCATATGGAGACTAATTGGAGAATAACTAATCGCACCCCATGAATTATCTCAACGATTACTTATTTAAAAAAATATAAGAAAAAAAATTGTCCGAAAATTAATTTGAAAATCAAACATCTAACTGTTTGTTAAAATAATGAATCATATAAGTTTCACTTTCTGTAATGTAACATGATACTTTTACATCTCCACCTATCCATGATGGTTCCAACCTGACAAACAGTTAGACCAGTTCCTTGTAACAAAAGAACAACTGGAAACAAGAGACAACGAGGAGACAAAACAACAAATACTAAAAAAATTCTGCATAGATGCGATTTAATATTCGCAAGATCTCTTTTCACATTCACAATTTACCAATCTCTCAAATTTACATCAATTCCATTTATTTTGGCTGGATCTATGTGGCGACTATTTCACATGTGTATCTACGATGACAAGTGGTTAGGCAAGAAAACTTTCAAAACTGGGGCACCAGAAGATAGTTCAATGGTATCCCCATGTTTGATAGAATACACAATATGACAACCATCAATGTATACCAGCCCCTTTTTACAAAACCATACATTGTCCATGGATTTGTCTGATTTTACAACTCCATGCATCAGTGCAGCATTGGTTGCTCCAGGTGAAATGGGCTCCCTTACCATGTATTGGAGATCCTTAGACAAAATTGGCATTGCAAATCCACCGGCTGATAGCATCGCAGCTGTTGATCCAGCAGCTGTTGAGACTCTGAGACCACTCGATCGACAGTTCACTAAAGGGGAACATGGCTGGCCATCCTTTGTAATTCTGCCAACGAAATGAACAATGGTTGAACATGTATAACTTGAAGTATGACATTTACAACTGTATGCCATTGCTAATCCCTTACCTGAATGAGAACCGAGAAACTGTTGCGGGACATGGGTGTGCAATTAAAACATCATTAAGAGCATATGTTGACAGAAGCTTTGAGTTCACACAAATTGACATCCTCGACAATTTACAAGGACCCGTTTGACCTTCAAGGATGTTGTCGAGCATCTGAAAGAAATGCTTGTGTTAAATGAATCACCCTAGATGTACCTCAATTGAACTTGAACACACTACACAAACTTATATGAGAACAAAAGATTAAATTGCTAATAAGGAAGTCATACTTGTTTTCAATCACTAACTACTTAATGCTTTCTTTCTTTTCATGCATCTAAAAAGGCAGTCATACTTGTTCAAAATTTCCGACAGTTGCGGCACAAAGATAGCCAGTGCTTCTTGTAGCATCGAACTCTCCACTGAATTCTTCCACCTAGAACAAAGATTATACAGTATATTACGGTCTCCAATTGGGATATCTAAATTAATTAATGGACACGACAAAAATTAGTCATCCAAGAACTCAAATTAATGGAGGCATAGAGACAACTAACCTCTTCAGCTTGAGTTGGGTCTGAATTCACTCCAAGAACTGGAATCAAATCATCCATGAAATGGCTTGCTTGCAAAAGTGTGCCATCACCACCCACAGTAATGACCAGATCCACATCACGGATTGGCTGTGACAGATTGCTTCGTAAAACAGGTTCCCAATCGACATGCTTTTGAAGCAAAATATCCTGACAAAAGCTTATGGCTTCCTTGTGAACCTTGCGCCTGTTGTCCAAATAACTTACCAGCTGTGATGTCTGTAACAAAAACAAATTCTTAAGTGCGCAATTATGACACCATAGTGCAAGATCTCTCAACCAAGAAAGTGGATGCAAAATCTTGATTCCACTAGTATTCCATTCAATTTCTGAGGAAATTGAACAAGAACCAATCTAAATCAATCAAAAATAAAATAATGAGAAGGTAAAATAAAATTAGGTGATTTTTTTTTTTTTGGTGATAAATGTAAAATAAAATTCGGTGATAAATAGCATTTATTTTTCCAAAGGATTTAGGGCTCATAACTTATAGCTTATAATTGCAAACATGGCGCTACCACGTCATTCTAAATGTATTTTATGTATAAAAATTTATTTGTAGATCATTTCCATTTTTCAAAATGAGCATTTGCAGCACCAAAGTTACTGCTAAAAATGAGTCAGGGCACTTCATTTCAATTCAACTGTTGGGTCTTCAATGGCTAGTTAATTGTAGCGAGGGAATTGGTGTTAAGCTGAAAATAGCTAAACAGTGTATTTGGCTTGATTGTTGGAGATGCTCTGATATTAGTTATAATGTCATGTGAACCTACAAAGACTAGACCTATTTTTATTTTTATTTTTTTATATGTACTATACAAACATGAACACATGCAAAAAGGAAACAATCTAACAATAAGCTATGGGGAAAAACAATGACAAAACGTAAGCAAAATCTAAGTACTAGCAGTTTCAATTTCAAATAGCATGAGCATTGACAATGGGAGCTGATGCTAATGCAAATCAACGCTGTGACATTTTATCAAACAGATAATCTACAAATTTGGTGATGGGTTTGGGAGCGCCGACCTTAGGGTTTGTGATGCGAGAGAGGCCGTTGAGTTTCTTGGTGGGGAACGCTTCGAAGGGCTTTAACAGCAATAGCACTCGCCTCCTCGCCATTCTCTCTCTCTGCCTGTCTGTCAGTCGGCAGCGTCGAGGGCAGAGTGTGAATAATCTCATCTGGCCTTGTTACAAAAATATATTATACGATTGGCTTCCCTTCGGTCCGTGCGTGGGATCCGTTTTAATAATTCAAACTGATTGGCCTACTATTTTATATTTGTAAAAAGTTACGGTTGATTAAATATCGATAATTATTTTATCGAATTAAATTTTTGTCAATTATTTATTTTTTTACCATTTATTTTTTTGGTATAAAATTAATTTAATTATGTAACTATCAATATTCAATCAATGTAATTTTTTTATATACATATAATACTCGACGAGTTCTACAAATTAACGATTTATATTAGCAAAGCGGGACCCATGGTGGACTCTTACGAACCCAACAACACCCTCCATTCTGATCACGGACTGAAGGGAAGCCAAATCCTATATTAAGTAGTTGTTTAAGATGTGCTATATAAGTGTACTTTTTGACCTTTTAATTAAAAAAATAGAGAAAAAAATATGTATGTTTAGAATAACTTTTACGAAAAGATGTATAATAAAATATTATAGTAAAATCAAAATAACCATTTTACCTTTTTAACTTTTTGACTTTTTGAATAATTGAATTCAAAGAGTAAAATAATAATTTTATCCTATAAGTCTCTCCCACAAGCTACACTTTAATAGTATTAACTTTTTAACATTTTTTTAAGTAACTTTTTAATTTATCCCAAACAAGGTCTTATTTTTATATTCTCCTATCTAGTAAAAAAAAATATTTCTATTAAGTGAATTAAAAATAGAGTTATTAAAATATTTAAATAGTATATTGATTAATAATTTTTTAAAAAATCATTTTTAAATATTTCAAATCAAACAAATGACTATAATGAAGATTTTTTAAGCAATCTATACTCTGAAGAAACAACTAATTTATAAACTAAACAGAAAGCGATCGTGAGCTTCCATTACAATGGATAAGTTTGTTTAAGTAACTCGATATATAGAATTTTCAATCTTAGTTAAGATTTTGTGGTATTCTAATTTTGTAATAATAATTTAAATTTCAAAACATCATTGATCGAGTAATTTATAAAGAGTATTCAAGGGTTTAAAAACCACCACTAGACTATAGTTACAAAATCATTACAAAAAAAAGAAGAGGAAAAAATTGACGATAAATCCAATTTAAGGAATGTATAAAATATTAGATCCAGTGAATATTTTTTTATTGTGAGAGGTCCACACTTTGTGAATTAATTTGATGAGAAATCTTGAAAGATATTTTGTTTCTAATTTTATCCCTTGACTTTTTTTTTATCTGTTTGATTTTTTGTTGACTATCTATTCAAATATTTTGTCTATATGTTCAGATGTTTTGTTTATCTGTTCAAATATTTTATCTATTTGTTCAATTTTTTTCCCTATTTCCCCTATCTGTTCATTTTTTCCCTAAATTCTAGTGGTGGTTTTTAAACCACCACTAGACTATAGTTACAAAATTATTACCAAAAAAAAAGAAGAAGAGAAAATTGACGATAAATCCAATTTAAGAAGTGTATAAGATATTAGGTTGAGTGAATATTTTTTATTGTGAGAGGTCTACCCTTTGGAAATTAATTTGATAAGAAATCTTGAAAGACATTTTGTTTCTAATTTTACTCCTTGACCTTTTTTTTATCTGTTTGATTTTTTATTGACTATCTGTTCAAATATTTTGTCTATATGTTCAAATATTTTGTTTATCTGTTCAAATATTTTATCTATTTGTTCAATTTTTTCACTATTTCCCCTATCTGTTCATTTTTCCCCCAAATTCTATTTATATATTCAATTTTTTTCTAAATTCTATCTATCTATTTAATTTTTCTTATCTGTTAAAATAACAATTTCTTATCTGTTACTCAAAATTGAAAGCCCATTTTTCCTATCTGTTTGAAATTCACAAAATAATTTTTCTATCTGTTGGAATTATCCACCACCAACATTCAAATATTACACAAAAATTCACAAATTATTATTATCTGTTCAAAACTTTTCTATATCTGTTTCATCATCAACAACTAAAAAAATAATATTCAATAACTAAAAAAAAGAAAAAAAAAAGTAGAAATTTGTTCAGTTGAATAAATTGATGGCCTTCTCTACAAATCCAGATCTACCACACACCACAATTCTATATGTCAAAATTCTATCTGTTGAAATTTTGATTATATCTGTTCAAAATTTATCTATGTGAAATGTCATATGTTTGAAATTCATATCCAAGCCATTTTGAACATATCTGAACCATTTTTTAACAAATTTGAACATATCTTAGCTATTTAAACAAATTTTTATTTATTTATCCATTTGCAATCTATTTATCATCAACAACAACAACAAAAAAACAAATTATCACACTACAAATTACTTCTTTCTCTTCTTGTTCTAATCGGTTTCATTATCATCATCATGAACAATAACTACTCCGAAAAAGAAAAAGAAAAAAAACCTAGATCCGAACAGATAACCACACAGCAACATCATCATCATTTGAGACAATTGAACAGATCAGTCATAGTGCTAAGTTATTGCTTCAAGTTGGTCTCCATGCCGTCGTTGAAAACCTTGTGAAATTTGGATATGGATGGAGATTAGAAAGAAAATGAAAAGAGAATTTTTGTCGACGATGAAACGACAGAGATGAGAGAGAAAGAGAGTGAGAGAGACCATTGACAATGATTTCATATTAATGGCTAATGGCAGTGGGGAAGCAACAAAGCTCTGACGTCAACAGAGGGAGATCGACGATGATGAAGAAGCTAGAGAGAGAAATTGAAAGGAGAGAGATGACGATATGTGTTAGTGTTTGGTTTGAGAAATAATATGTGGGTATTTGGGAAGTTGCTATTTTAGAGGCTTTTTGGCTATTTTAGTAGGCTATTTTAGTTTTTGTGTTTGGAAAGTTTGGTTGGATTTTTATTTGAGTTGCTGTATTGAAAAATGTGTTGAAATGATGTTTAAAGTTAAAATGACAACTTTGTCCCCAATCTCACATTTTTCAAAATTAATTTAAAGGGGCGTCTAAAAGGGCAAAATTGTCATTTCAGCCTCAAAGACTAGGCTGTCACAGATGAGAGGCTACACACTGTCATGACAATGTAGAGCTGCTGACTTTGCTTTTTTTTTTTTTTAATATAAATCATTGAATAATAATTTTTGAGGCTTTTTGGCTTAAAATGTGTTTGAGGTTATTTTAGCCTCAAAAGTGGGTTCCCAAACACCCCATATATATATATATATATATATACATAGGGAGTTTGGTCATTTTGCGATACTTTGTGTTTATAGACAAAGTATTTTAGAGTTTGGATCTTTAGACAAAAAAAATTTAAAATTGAATTTATGAATCGGGAGTCTAAAAAAAAGTTTTCATCAAACTTAAGATTTGATTTGATTTGATTTTGTTTGATTTGGTTAAAAAAAAATCCAGCTCATTTCCATGCCCGCGAGTTTCAACTTGCAATGCTACAAGCGACCTTAGCCCAAACCCAGACCACACCTTCAGATCCGATGCCCAAATCAAACCAAACCAATCCTCTGAAAAAAAAAAGGAAAGAAAAAGAAAAAAACAACTACGTACGGAGCACCTAACCCAAGCAACCCAACCGGACCCAAACCTGGGTTTGGCTCAAATATATGTTTCTAGGATTTTAAGACACAAACCAAACGTTGACCGACCCATTCTCTCACATCCAATCGGGTGTACCGAATCTTCTCTCCCCATTATCAACAGAATCCATAAAACAAACCCTAACCCTAACCCTGATCTTCTCGGATCGTCCGATCGGACTCTCTCTCACACAACAGATCGAAGCGAGAATCATCTCTCTGCAATTCACTCTCAGGTACCCAAAAAAAAACCAGCTTCAATTTTATTTACCTATATGTCATTTCAAGCTTTCTTTTGATGGGTTTACACTTATAATTGGTTTTTGTGTGTAGATTTATCTGTTGTTTGGTGGTATATTGACATTGTTTATGTGTTTGAATTTTGATGAGTGGGTCGAATTTTTGGCTGCAATGTTGAGAATTTGCTGATTTGGTGGTTGTAGTAGTTGTAATCGCCATCACTTATCAAGTAGAAATGGTATTAGTTATCCTCGAAATTATAGTCCGTTTGGTACACCAGGTGTGGAAAGAAATGAAAGGATCTGATTTCTCACCCAGGTGAGAAAGAGAAAATTGAAATGATTGTGTTTTCTCATCAACTTGTTTGGATAAGGAAGAAAGAAGAAAAAAAAATGTGATTTTTCATGTATATTGTTTGATTAGGCTGTTGGACTGCGTAAGAGAAGAGAAATGAAAAGAAATAGATTTTATCATATTTTATCAAAATAACCTTCATTTTATAAGGATATGAGTGGGATTTGTTTTTCCTCTGTATTTTTGATGGGCAATTCATCTGATTTCACTTCTCATGAAATTTTGAACAAATTTGTTTTAGTAGAGTTTTCTTCTCACTATTTCTCACCTAGAGAGCAACCAAATGTGAGAGATTGGGCATGAAATTCTGTTTCCTTAGTATTCTCACCAAACTAAATGTGCTGTTAGAGTTGTGTGACTTGTGTTCCTACAATTTGTCATTTTTATTGTTATCTTGATGGGAATTCGTATTCTTGATCTGCGTACTGGTTCATGTTTCGTGAAAATGGAATGGTAACTGTCTCAAAATGACTTGGCCTGATTTCGTCGTGATTTTGAAAATGGTTTTGTTCGATTTGCTGGCGTAGTGTTCATCTTTGATTAATGGGAGGCTAGGATTGTGTTATGGAATCATGGATACATGTTCCAGATATGAAGGGGAGTTTCAGATCAGCTTAAATAGCTTAATTATGTATACTGTGTATTGGATATACCTGTATAGATCCTGGGAACAAGCATTTTATTTACCATTTACCAGCTGGATCACTTGTGGGGCTTGTAACACTCTGGACAAATTGGATCAAAATGTAGATACATTCTGAATATAGAAGTCATTAAAACGTGCATCAAATTTGTATTTACCAAGCTTTTTAATTTTCATTTTTGTTAGTAAAATCACAGATCATCTGTGTGGTTTGACCTTAATGGTAATATATGCCAAACCAAACGAAACCAAACCAAACCTTAAGTCCCATCAAATGGAGTCGACTACATGAATCTTTCTTCTCCACGTGGCTCTATTAAAGGTCATTTCGTTAGTCAAATTAAGTAGATTCATATTTCTATTTATAACGCTAGCCAACGTTAATTTAGGCCTACTCGGTCCCTTAGCACTACCATCTACTGTCATTGCATGTTCACCACTGCCTCTGTTAGTCTCCGTTGAATATGACCAAACCATTTCAATCAATTCTCTCTCAACTTATCTTCTATTGGTGCTATTCCTACCCATTTTCGAATACACTCATTCCTAATTCTGTCTTGTCTAGCATCCTCATCTCAGTAACACTCATCTTATCTACATGTTTCTTGGTTGCCCTACACTTCTTCTCATACAACATTGCCGGTCTAATAGCCGTTCTATAGAACTTACCTTTTAGTCTAGTGGGTATTAGTTTATCGTACAGTACTCCAGATGTACTTTTCCACTTAAGTTATCCCGCTTTAATCCTATAGGCCACATCCATATCAATCTCCCCCGCTTTGTGATAATCGATCCTAAATAACGAAAATATTTACTCTTAAGCAGTTCTTGTTTCTCAATCTTCACTTCTCCTTTGCTTTCATTGTTACTGTTACTAAATTTACACTCTATGGATTCTGTCTTAGTTCTACTTATCTGGAATCCTTTAGATTCAAGTGCTTTTCTCCAAATTTCCAACTTTATGTTAACTCTTTCTCTAGTCTCATCCACTAACACGATATCATTTGCAAAAAAATATACACCATGGCACGTCATCCTGAATATTTCTCGTCAACTCATTCATAACTAAAACAAAAAGATAAGGAAGGTAGATCTTTGATGTAACCCTATAGTGATAGTAATATATGCCATCAGTTTTAAGTTTGATATACTCTCCCTTCCCCTGTTTGTAGACTAGTTCAAAACATTCCTCTGCTCACTTGTTATTTCTCTATTTATATCCTAGAACATGTAGACTCAGCAAGATTTTCAACCATTAAGAAATGTTGTGTTATTTATAGGCCCTGTTTTAAGGAAAATGTACATTATGTGATTTTGATGTCCTTGTCTTTTTTTCCCTGGGTAGATTTGTTGTATTTGTTTCTTGGATTTGAGTGAATACATACAATGCTGATTCATGTGTGCAGTAGTTGTGCCATTTTTAGCAATTCTTACTATCATTTCGTTAGAGATTGCTCCATGTCACCCTCTTTAACAACTTAAGCTTTTGGTCTCTTGATTTCTAACATTGTATCAAAACTTTGAATTTGAGAGGTCTTGGATACAATTCTCTATGTTACTATTTATTTTCCCATGTTGTTTGTCTACTTGGATGTTGTTATTTTTGTTTGTTTCATTTTACACATACAAGAGGGGGTTGCATGCCTAGATGTGAGAACTAGCATGTATACATTGTTTGGCTCATCCTAACAGCTTTTGATTTTTTGCACTTGATTTCTCACAGTTCACATATGGGATTAGTACTTGAATAGTGGGAGGGATATTGATAGGATACTAGGTGCTAGGTGGTTGGGAGGTTTTCTCTTTGACTTGGCAGGGTCCTATATGACCATGTGAAATGGAAGATCTCACTATTTTATATTTTTGATCTAGTGCAGAACAGGTTTTGGTGTGTTTATATGTGGTCTTTTACTTCTTAATGCATTCTGTCTTCCAAATTGGTCGTCCTTGGTGTTTAGAAGCTCCAAGGGCATCAAGCAGTGTGATATTGTATAATTGGCCAAAACTGCACAGTGGTATTTGGTTTTGTATTTCTTTAGGCAGTTCTTATGGAATATTTTATTTGTGTACAATATGGACAATTTTTTTTTTTTTTTTGGTGGATATATACAATATGGACAGTTGATGACGTTCAACTATGGTTTCATTCTGGCTGAGGTTGATTATATATTTTGCTCAACTATTTCTGTTAACTTTTTTTTTTTTTTTTTTCTTTTTTGCCTTCAAAATTCTCTTTGCAAGTTAACTCAGTTACTGGCACGTTATCTTTATTTGAAAGGAGAATATTCTAAATAATAGATTTTACTTTAATTAAAAAAAAAAACACTACGTATTTGATTCAACTATGGTTTCATTCTGGCTGAGGTTGATTATATATTTTGCTCAACTATTTCTGTTAACTTTTTTTTTTTTTTTTTTTTTTTTTTGCCTTCAAAATTCTCTTTGCAAGTTAACTCAGTTACTGGCACGTTATCTTTATTTGAAAGGAGAATATTCTAAATAATAGATTTTACTTTAATAAAAAAAAAACACTACGTATTTGATTTCATTTGGTTTGCAGGCTTTGGTTGATATTGAACCCATGTGATGGAAATATCAAATGATTCACCTGTTAAGAAACCGAAGAGGTTGACATCTATTGTATGGAATCACTTTGAAAGGGTTAAAAAGGCTGACATTTGTTATGCTGTTTGTGTACATTGTAAAAAGAAACTTAGTGGATCAAGTAACAGTGGAACTACTCATCTGAGAAATCATTTGATACGCTGTCTGAAGAGATCCAATTATGATGTTTCTCAAATACTTGCAGCAAAGAGAAAGAGAAAGGAAACCACCCTTGCTGTAGCCACTGTTGTTGACTATGAGGAGGGGCAAAGAAAAGAGGAGATCATTACTCCTTTAAATATTAAATATGAGCATGACCAAAAAAAAGATGAACCCATCAACCTTGGAACCATCAACCTTGGAAGTGCAAAGTTTGATCAAGAGCGTAGTCGACTGGATCTTGCACGTATGATCATGTTACATGGTTACCCATTGGATATGGTTGAGCATGTAGGATTCAAAATATTTGTCAAGAATCTCCAGCCATTGTTTGAGATTATGACTAATAGTGCCGTCGAGCTTGACTGTATGACAATTTATGGGAAAGAGAAACAGAAAGTCTATGAGACAATACATGCTTTGCATGGCAGAATTAGCCTTGCTGTTGATATGTGGGCTTCACCTGAAAATGCTGGTTATTTATGTTTGACAGCAAACTATGTGGATGAGGACTGGAAGCTACAGAAGAAGATACTGAATTTCATAACATTGGATGTTTCTCACACGGATGACATACTTTCAGAAATTATTATCAAATGTGTGATGGATTGGGATGTTGATCGGATGTTGTTTGCCATGACATTTGATGATTTTTTCACTAACGATGACATTGTTTTCAAAATTAAGGAATGGTTCTCTCAAAACAAGCCTCTTCTGAAGAATAGCCAGTTGTTTGATGTGCGCTGCGCAACACATGTTCTAAAATCTATTGTTTCGGATGCCATGGAGGCAGTTCAAGATGTGACCCACAAAATTCGAGAAAGTATTAGATATATTAGAAGTTCACGAGCAACCCAAGGAAAGTTCAATGAGATTGCTCAGCAAGTTGGAATCACTAGTCAGAAGTGCTTATTTACCGACTGTTCAATGCGATGGAATTCTACATATCTCATGCTTGAAACAGCTTTAGAGTACAGGGGTGCCTTCTCTGTTCTGCAAGAACATGATGCCAGCTACACAATGGCTCTATCGGAGAGAGAATGGGAATGGGCAAATTCTGTTACTGGCTACATGAAGCTTTTTGTTGAAGTTACAAATGTCTTCTCAGGGAACAAATACCCAACTGCAAATATATATTTTCCAGAAATTTGTGACATTCACGTCCAATTGATTGAATGGTGCAAGAGCCCAGATGATTTTGTTAGCTCTATGGCGTTAAAGATGAAATCCAAGTTTGACAAGTATTGGAGCAAGTGCAATTTGGCTTTAGCAATAGCAGCCATCTTGGATCCCCGGTTCAAAATGAAGTTGATCGAGTATTACTATCCCCAAATTTATGGCGATGATGCCCCAAATCACATCAAGGAAGTTTTTGACAGTATTAAGGAACTTTTTAATGAGTACTCTGTGTGCTCTACTTCACTTGATCAAGATTCAGACAGGCCTGGCAGCAGCTTATCTAATACTAGTAATGGTATTAGGGATAGACTAAGGGGCTTCGACAAGTTTCTCCATGAAACTTCACAAAATCAAAGCATAACATCAGACTTGGACAAATATCTAGAGGAACCAGTCTTTCCACGTAATTACGATTTCAACATATTGAATTGGTGGAAAGTCCACATGCCAAGGTACCCCATCCTATCAATGATTGCACGTGATGTTTTGGGGATACCTCTGTCAACTCTTGGACCAGAGATGGCATTCAGCACCCGGGGCAGGGTGCTTGATCATCATCGGAGTTCACTTAATCCAGATATCAGAGAAGCTTTGATATGTGGGCAAGATTGGTTGCGGATGGAATCAGAAGGTATCTATAATTCTTTCGACTTTCTTCATTGAAGAGGCAATTTTAAAATCTGAATTAGTGGTTCAGGCTACCAGAAACCAAAGTCAAGTAGGGTTAGAAAACAGGAGCGTTTTTGCTTTATTTTTGAACAATTACGATCACAAATTATAATATACCTCATTCTTGTGTGTCCGATATCATTTTACTTTTCATGTTGGGTCTCATCTATATCGCTTATGAGTTGTATTTTTCTTGTATCAGCAACCAACTGCAACCCATCCTCAAGCCATTCAGCTTTGCCTCTTCTCATGGAGACAAATTAATGTTTTCATGGTACGAATCTATTAGTTTTGCCTTTTGCCCCCTCTTCCCATAATATCTCGTATATTTGTATATTTGCTGATATTCTCGTTTTCTTTATCTTTCGATTGTCTTCTCATGCAAGGTAGATGATCAGATCGTATGATGGTGTCTGACCCTTTTAATTTTAGGCATTGTTCTGATGCTTTAAAGCTGTTAGATGAACCTCTGCTTTGCTTGTCCAAAATTTTCACTTAGACTAGATGGATAATTATTTTCTTGTTTATCTTCTTCTTCTTCTTCTTCTTTTTTTTTTTTTTTTTTTTTTTTTTTTTTTTTTTTTTTTTTTTTGGTAAATGTACATTTTAGTAACGATCTTGACGCTTTGTCCGATGATACAACTGAAGGAAGCCTCCCTTTCACCATTTAGATGCCCCCTGTTGGTAGTGTTTGATTGTTGATTTCCAAATCACAATGAAACTGGATTGGTGACGAGCATTATTATTATTGGTTCATTTTATGTTTCCCTTTCCCCAAGCTTTAATCTAAACAAGTAGTGAAGTTTTGACTAGCATGATGGGATGGATTAAAAGTGAGTATCGAAACTAAAAGACTCTTAGTTGCTGCATTAGATTGTTTTCCATATCTTAATATTCTGGCTGTTTCTCATTCTCACAGTAACTTCCTGCAAGTACTTTCTTGTGAGATTTTGAAACCCCTCTTGTTGGCACCAGATCTGAAAGGATCGCGATGCTAGTTGGTCCCACTTAGTGAATTAAACTTATAAAATTTAGCTTGTTTGATCATTTTTTTTTTTCGTTTTTTTGTGATATTGTTTTGAAATTGGAAACACAGCCAAAACATATCATTCCAAATCAGATTAAATTCTAAAAATGAATTTCCGACAAATTTCATTGTCTCTGAAAAGTTCATTTTCAATGTAGTCTCCTGTTCTCTTGTTCATTCTTTATAGTTGATATAGTAATCAATCTCATCTAACGCATTAAGGCCATGTTTGGGGAGCTTTATTTGCACAATAGCACTTACCTGAAGTTTTATTAATTTCGACATATATTATTAAATCTTCGAGAGTGTCCAAAAAAAAAAAGAAACTTTCCTGTAATCAAATACAGTATATGATCTTTACAACCATATGTTTCATGTCCTGTCCATTCCAATCAAACATATTTTTTAATAGAATTGTTAAATTTTTTTTTTCCTCATAATCTTAGTACAAAACACAAATTAAAGAGATTAAACAATCTTAAAAAAACTTAATCCAGTACCCAATCTAACCCAATAGACACCTACTATTGTTCGTGACCTGCAAGTGTGAATGAAGGACAATGATGGAGGACATTGAAAGAGAGAGTGAGAGAGAGGGTCCTCTGTGGGAAATAATCAATCAAGAGCAACCAAATCTCCGTACATTCTTTGAAGAAACCAACCAATCAACCCAGGATGAAATCGGAATTTTATCACCCTATATATAAACACATGTATATAAAGTATGATATCTAAATTATATATACACACAAAAAAATTAAATTAATATCATAGAAACAATATCTAATAGGATAAATAATTTTTTTTGATAAAAAAAAAAATGCTAGATGGAAAAAGAATCAGATATATATCTTTTATATTAAGAAGTCATTTTATTTATGCAATAGGATAAATTACAAATACACCCCCTAGGTTTCCTTAAAACACAGATTGCCTAATTTGAAAAATTACTAATACTCCATTGTCATAATTTTTTATTTAATAGAATTAACTGAAAAAATAGAATTCATAATTGTTCTTCTATATAATAATAAAATTACCTAAATTATTAATTGAAATATATTTCTAGTATCATTAAAAACTGTTAATTGATTTAATAATTCATTAATAAAAAGGATAATTTGTTATGAAATTAGAAACTTCAAGGATGAAATATAATTTTCAAAACTACAAAGAACGGTTCGTATTTTAATCAAACGTCAAAGAGGTTGTATTAGTAATTTACCCTATAAAATAAGATATATATTTTTAAAAGTATTATAACAAACAAGATTTTTCACAAAAATAAAGACATCATGTCCTAATTCCATATTACAAACAACCAACCAACCGGACAGCATTTTCATTTCAACAATGCTCTCTGCTCCCGCCATTCGGCACCACCTAAGTAAGAAAGAATCATTCATATACAACTTGCACTTCATCTGCATCTTATCCACTCAACTTTCCCATTCATAAAATAATTTATTAATAAATTTTAGGATTAATTATAAAAAAAAAAATTCAGAACTTTGTGTGTTTTTTAATTTAAACCCTAAAATTTTAATTTCGACATATTAAACTCTAGAGTTTCATCTATGTTTCAATCTAACCCCTCCGTCCATTTCTGTCATATTAAACTAACAGAAATTTAAGCAAAATTTCATATTCAAACCCGCATGTTCAAACATTTGTATCTATTTCGTCGTAACTCTGTTTTGTCTCGTTTTTGCGTCGTTGGATTCACCTCATGACCTAGTTTTCATTCCACTTTTCATACGCCTTGATCCACATCTTTTTACTTGCCATCGGAGCTCCGAAAGTTAGCCAAAAAAAAGATTTTTTTTCTCTCTTTAAGCGAAATTTTTAAATTTAAATTCATATATTCAAGCACTTGTACCTCCCTCGTCGTAACTCCATTTCATCTCATTTTTGCATCATTAGATTCAACTCATGACCTAGTTTTTATTCCACCCCTCATATGCCTTATTTCACCTCTTTTTGCATGCCGTTGAACCTCCGAAAGTTGGTTAAAAATAAGATTTTTCTCACTTTTTTCCTTTTTTATTATTTTATTTTTTTCTTTCTTTCTTTCTTCTTCCTCCGCCTCCATGGCTCCTCCTCCTGGCTTGCTGCTACTGCTGTTGTTGCTTCATCATCATTGCCTGCAAGATGAGATGGTGGTGGTAATGATAGCGGTATCGTTGAGTAGTGATAAGTATACAATTACACATAAAAATAAAAAACCAAATGAGTTGGTGAGCATGTTAGGGCGCCTTAGTTTCAAATCAAGCATCATCCATTGCATCTCCACTGCCAAGAATATTGTCGTGATAGCAGCAAGAGAGAGAGAGAGAAATCTTTTTTTTAACCAACTTTTGGAGATCCGACGGCATGCAAAAAGAGGTTAAACAAGGCATATAAGGGGTGGAATAAAAATTAGGCCATAAGTTGAATCTAACAATACCAAAATGAGGTGAAATGAGTTACGACAAGGGAAATATACAAGTGTTTGAAATGTGGATTTGAATCTGAAAATTTTGCCCAAAGAAAGAAAAAAATTATTTTTGGCCAACTTTCGGAGCTCCGATGGCAAGTAAAAAGATGTGGAACAAGGCGAATGAATAGTGGAATGAAAACTAGGTCATGAGGTGAATTTAACAACGCAAAAATGAGGCGAAACAGAGTTACGACGAGAGAGATACAAGTGCTTGAATATGTGGGTTTGAATATGAAATTTTGCTCAGATTTTTGTTATTTTAATATAATGAAGATGGATGTAGGGTCAGATTGAAACACGGATATAATTCTAGGGTTTAATTTATTGAAATTGAAATTCTGAGATTTAAATTGAAAAAAATTGCGAAACCCTGGCTTTTTTTTTTTTTTTTTGTGTAATTAACCCTAAATTTTAATCATTACTAAACTCACAAACTTTTTTAGATATTATTATTTTTTTAAAAAACAGTTGCCAAAACTTAGGGGTATTTTGAGAAGTGGGTTAAAAGCTACTTCCCAACTTTTAACCTATTTCCTTTCTCCAAAAAAAAAAGTCAAAAAAAAAAAAAAAAAATCAACTCTTAACCATATTTCCAAAACACCTCTTAATAATTTTCCTTAATTGTGTTAAATTACCAGTCAAAAATCGGTAATGCCAAATTTATGTTCAAGTTTCACATTAGGTAATTAACCCGGTGTAATTTTGAGTATTTATAATTACAAAAATAAAATAAAATATATATAATTTTACTTCAGTCCTTCAAAAATTTAAATGATTTTTATCTTGACATTTTACATAATTTCTACACCCTCACTTTTCACTATAATGACCTGCTAAGAAAATTTGTAAAGAGAGGAATTACACTGATATTATGTCAGTGGAAATTACTTATCAAAAAATAAAAATAAAAATAAAAATAAAAATTATAATTATAATTGAGAGGGTAATTTTTGGGAAAAATTGGGCCGAACTTCGAGTTGGGTTTCGAGGCCCAAAGCGTAGAGGACTAGGTAAAAAGGCCGTACTGAATACTCCGGCCTAGAAGGCAAGGTTACTCCGGCCTTGTCAGGTGACAAAGCGACGTCGTACGGAGGAGCGTGGACTTGGTCAATAGGATTATACGAGGAGAATTATTTCCTCCCCGTACAATAATTATAATTATTAATATTTTTTATTATTTTATAGATATCTTTCACCAACACAATTCCTCTGTTTGTAAATGTCTGCATCAATGAAAATTATCTCTCCTAATCAAAATAATCATATCATTATTAGTCTTGGGTCCCTTTAAAATATACACTTGTGCAACACGTTGCTTTGTTCAAACCCTTTTCCAAAACTAAAAAAGTAAATTAAAATATATTTTATGCCATAAGCAGTGGTGACTCGTGTAACTCTCATACTATACTCGTGATTTTTTTATAATTAATGTAAAATTCATTAATCAAGTGAAAGCACTTTTGTTTTACGCTGTGTTTGGTTAGAGGATTTGACGAGAGATTTAGAAAGAGAAAAGGAAAAATTAGGTGAAATGTGAATAAAATATACTTATATTTCACCTAATTTTACACATCTTTTTTCTTTTCTTTTCCAAATCTCCCATCGAATTTTTTAACTAAACACAGCATTAGAGTTCTGTTTTCTGTGTTTTTTTTTTTTTTTTTTTTTTCCTTAAAAGACATGCTTTTTTGAAAAGACCAGAAAGGAGGGATTGGTTGGGTAAAAGTCAATCAAGAAAACAAAACAAAAGGGCGGGGCTGCTGGTTTTCTGTAAACAATAATATTTGACATTAATCAAGTGAAAACACTTTTGTTTTAGAGTTCTGTTTTTTCTCCCTTTTTTTTATTATTAAAAAACATGCTTTTTGAAAAGACCAAAAATTGAGCAGCAGTCAATCAAGAAAACAAAACAAAACAAAAAGGAGTGGCTGCTGGTTTCTTGTAAACAATAATATTTGACATTTGAGCTCACGTGACACCCGAGTTACATTTATCACATTAATTCTTTTGGAGTATTTTTTTAAGAGCAATGGTAGAGGGCTCAAATTCTGTGGCTCAAATGTGGTTCAAATGGTCGGCTCAAATGTGGCTCAAATGGTCAAAACGACGTCGTTTTGAGTATTTTAAAGATTTTTGATATTAAAATCTTATAAAATAAATAACATATAATATTTTTATATTAATAATTTAAGTTTCTCAATATTTTTACAGAGAAAATTTGATTCAGAAAAATTTCGCCTAATTCAGCCTCCGTTTGGAAAGTGGGTT